GGGGGGGGGGGGGGGGGGGGGGGGCTGTCGCTGACGTCTTAAAGGAAAACCTGTAGTAACGTTTTCGTGATATTTAATGCGCCAACCAATATCGTGACGTCATTGCCACTTAATTTCTATACTTTTAGCCTGTTTATGACTATAATAGTATTCCCATGTCACGTAACACGTTCTTAGAACCGATATGGCACGCTTTGAACATGAATTTTGCTTTCGATTGGTGTGAAAATATAGCTTCAATATTGCAACAGTATTATTATGTACTCTTAGTTACCAGAACATTTTTTGGTCGTTTTATGTTTCTCAAAAACCATATAGGTACAGTTTACGGTATTATTATTTTTTTATTATTAAATACACATCCTCACAATAAATTGAATTATGGTGTGTTTACAAATTCAGTGTAAAACGTAGTACATTCATATACCTTTTTAGGGAGCTATAATAACGTTTCTATCATTCTATGTCTATGCCTTTTTCCTGTGCTTCTTAGAAACCGCCGGGAGACCCTAAAATCGATCATTCTTCTGAGATTATATGCCGTACATCTAACACTAGTTTAATTTTTTGTTATTATTTCACGAATTCAGCTCTTTATCTAACGATTAGCGCTGCTTAGCAGGTGTGACAGCCTACATGAATCAACTTTAATACTGGACTGATAATCATATTTTTATTTGAAAATGCGGGCAGGAGAAATTTTGAGGGGGGGGGGGAGAAAATTGGGAGAAGAGAGGTCTGCCACCCAACCGCACCCCTTGGAGCAAGTCTGTACCCTTCCCCGCGCCCTTCGGTTGACAAGAGTCGACAGAGGTCAATGTCAGCATGGGGAGGGGCATTAGAGTGTTTCCAGAAACTCTTGACACCTCATTAATTAACAGGTGGTCTTCACTCAACTTTCAACAATTCTTCAGTCAGTTTTTTTCTTCAGTTTTTTTCACACATCTTAAACCTCTTTGTTTTCTAAGACCAAGGGTATAATCGGTTATTATTATTAGCCAAAGGCTGGTTTACATGATGCCTTCTATGACTAAGTTAACAACAAAGATAAAATATATAACATAGAGTATACTAAACTACTTACAAAGGAATTGTTTACTATTTACAAAGGAAGCATAATTGTTAGCATGACTTATTTAGTGACATTGTCACTCATGTTTCGAAATCTGGTTTTGAAAGAGGTAACAGTAGGCGATTAATCGGTTCTGGAAAAAAAGTTTTGTCGCGGTTTATTGAGAAGCTACGTGATGGTTTTGTATTTCACTAAAATGCTCAGTGGTTCCCATAATTTCCCCCCGTTTTTTTGCATAATAAGATAATTAGCATAAAGTGCGCAGTTGGCAATTAATCCAACTTTGAATAAAAGCCAATGTTCGAAGCAGCACTTTTCGTCACCATTCCTATAAGTGCAATTTTGATCTAGACAAGTCTGGACAAAAATTTCAGCACAGCTTGAAATAGCATCGTAAAATTAGTAATATTCCGAAGTTTCGTTGTGAAATTGAAATGTTGTAAAATGCGGATAATATAACCTTGCGAAGTTTGCCGTTTTTCAGTCATTTTGCATTACAAATGGAAATTGATAATCAGATGATCAAACTGATTATCAATTTCCAATTTGTAATACAAAACTTCGCAACGAAACTTCGGAATATTACTAATTTTGTGATGCTCTTTCAAGCTGTGATGAAAATTTTGTCCAGGCTAGTTTAGATAAAAATTTCACTTAATAGGGGAAAGGTCCATTAGCCACACTGCCTTGGGGATAAAAGCTTGATCGCTCCTGGAGCTCACTGATCTCGAAACCAGGTCTGGATAGAGTATGGGTAAACCGCAAGATTTTGTTGGCATCTCACTCGACTGAATAATAGTTGAAGGCTATTGTAGATGGAAATTATCCAGTGGAAATTTATGTACATTTATTACACCTAACCAGGAACAGCTGCGAAAAATGCAACTTCAGGTCCCGGGCAGGAATCGAACCTACGACCCTGCGATTCGGGTGCAGCACTCTTTGAATTCAGAGAATTAATTTTGAAGCCAGCATATTTGTAATGAAAAGAGATTTTTAGATCTGTCAAATTATTCACATATCGAATTGTTATAGCTTAAATATTTGAGATATTGATCTAGCTAACTTGCCTAAATCATTTTGTCATGATGTAACAAGGTGGGAAACATTGCGTTCTGATGAAAGCTGAGTATCTCAATGCATTTCTCAATGCTATTTTCATCCTATCTATGAATTAGATTATTTGGTGTGACAACCCACAATAACCCCTTAAAATGTTTATCAACGCAGGAAATTTAATTATAAGGACGTGCGTCTGTGACCGAGGTTAATTTGGTCAAGGGTTTGACAATATTCCTTGAAATAATATACTCGATGTTTTTCAGGAAAACAAATCAATTGAGTTCAAAATGTTAGAGGGGCTGACTGCTCGTAATGTTGAAGGGTTTTTGTAAATGGAAATTTCTAGTGTAAATTTTGTACATTTTTTAGACTTATTGAGCAGTAATCAATCAAGTATGTTCTGAAAACTCAACCTCGTTCCCAGGCTTTTCCCTCTTGCTGAAAACTCGGGGGAAATTTTTGTTCTATGTTTTTGTTTATGTTTATGAAAAGTTGCAAACTTACGCCCCTTAAGGCTGATTTCCACTGTTGCGTTTTTCATACGTACGTATACGCACATATATAAATGTATATATAAATCCGTTTAAATGTTACTTATGAAATAACCAAATAAATAAAGCAACATAATTTAGTGTTCCGCAAGTTTTAGTATGCATTTGTTAACTTATTTGTAAAATATTTAAAAAATAGAAGGATTCAAAGTTTTACGTGCGTGTACGTGCGTACGAAAAACGCAACAGTGGAAATCAGCCTTTACAGACAAACACGTTTTCCTTGCCAAGTATTATTTGCTGTTGTTGTGTACGACAATGGACGACTTGCGCTTTAGACTAAATTTTAATCTAAGTAAGAACGACGAAATCTATCACCACAGCTAGAAAGAGCGTCTTGGAATTAGTAATATTACAAAGTTTGGTTGCGAAATGTTGTAAAATACGGAAATATATAGCCCTTCAAAGTTGGCAAATTTGGATACTTTTGTAACTAAATTAGTTACCAATTTCCGCACGTAATAGAAATGTATACAAATTTGCCAACTTCGCAGGGCTATATATTTCCGTATTTTACAACAATTCGCAACCAAACTTTGCAGTTTTTCTAATTTTGATAACTTCTTTCCGAAAATATCCTTTGTTATTCCTAGATTAAAAATTTTTCTAAAGCGCAAGTCGTCCATTGTTCATTGCCAAGGAGCTTTGTTCCAAAGCTAATCAGGTCAGCTTTTGGCAAGGAAAATCTGTCCGTGGGTACGACTGGCAAGGAAAATTTGACAAGAATTACTTCTATGGTTTTGGCAAACAAAAGAAAGGCGACCTTGACATCAGATAAATGTATTTAAAACAACATTCCGTGCACACCCTGAGCAACAACACCTATCAAGGAAAACTTGTCGAGCGTACACACGAGAAAGTAAATTTTTGTCAACAAAACATGCCAAGGAAAACTTGTTGACTGTACACACGAGAAGGTAAATTTGTCAAGCAGTCAAGAAAACTTGTCAAGGGAAACTTGCTCGTCGTCTGTACGTGACTTCATACACGAATGTTTGGCATAATGAAACAATCATCCATTCACCATTGTCATAATTTCAGTCGTCAAATTGTGCAACTATGTCGTTAAAACACTATAATGTTTGTGCATGATGAATTCTTTTCAATTAACATGGAATCGTAGTTCATTACACACGCTTTGAAGTTCACCGAGATTTCAGAACTTTAAGTCAATTGACTATGACCTTTACTATTAGTATTGCTGTGTCTACGAGTTATATATAGTCCGTTTCCTTAGGGACAGTTGTGTAGGACCGGAAAATTCGCATATTTTGCGTCTGAGCTCTGTCTAAATTTGACATGACTGAAACAATTTTACACGATAAAAACTAGAAGTTACTATCGCAAAGACATGCTGCGTCAAAAGGCTAAGACGCAAGGCTTGAAAGTGACGCAACTGCCCTATAATTATGCAATCTGTACAATGCACAACGTATTTTAAGCTGTAGTATGCTGCACTATACATTCTGTACAATATTATACCTAACGATAACCAATTTGTGCAGTGACAAATTGAATATGTGCAGTGATAAACAGTAAAAATGTGCAGTTATAGCTTTGTTGTGATGAATTAATATCCTTACTATAATGTCAAATTGCATAATAACTTTCTAGAAATTTTTTTATAGATAATCTATTCAGATATGTCGACACACAACACATATGCACGGTATTATGATTTCGATGCACGATAGCCCAAAGTCATTATCGGTAATGTGACATCATAGTGATTATAAATTGCGTATCAAAAATTGAAATAACTCCAGAACGAAGCAAGCTAAAGATAGTGTGGTAAAGCATTTTAATCAGTGATTTTGAATCGGTCGTATTTGAATTTTGTTCACAATGCCATCATAAATGAATGGTGTAAAATTTTGTTGCATAAACACTTTAAACTCGTGGGTGGACTGAACTAGAAAATGAAGAACTTCACACCTCTATTTACGTTTCATTTCCTTGAGTACATAACTAACACTAGGTTATAATAAGTCGCACGTAGCAGACAATAAACAAAGCGTGTGGTGTGATAATTTATGAATGAAGGAAACAGGAAATGTTTTTAAGAATATGATCCCTCTGAACGTGATCGTATACTTCTACGAACGTTTTGTAGCCCCGTTTCCAAATTGGTTTAAAGAACAATGGTGGGATATTTTCTTATACACTGGAATTTTTTTCAAAATTCTTGCTATGCAATTGAAATAGTGTGGATTTTCGCTGCAAATAGTAGGGAAATCCAATGTTCATACCAATTGCATTGGATATAGTATATATGGATATACTATGTATTTAGTGATACAATCGCAAATTGCATGGTATGAATTTCTTTTTTTTCCAGTTCTAGTCCCTGAAAGATCTTCAAGTGTTTGGGAGCAAAATTTGATAATGAGACTTGCCTCTCCCAAAAACAATGCAATGAATGTATTTCATGGTAATTTTTTTATAATTTTTTAAAATGTCGCCCGTTTCTACTACTCCCATGAAATTTTGCTGTTTCTACTTTTTTGTAATGACTATTTTATATTACTTGGATTCATGTTGTGTTCCTGGTATCGTAATGGCTATTTTACTTGGTTCATGCTGTGTTCCTGGTATCGAAACATGGTTTCTTTGTTGACATTCGAGCATCTCACATATTGCATGAATATCAAACAGCAGTGAACAGTGAATCGTCTGAGATACAAGGGCCACGTCAACATGACTAACAAGCAACACATGGTGTATAAATACGATGTCGACCTCAATGACTTGCGGATATTACGGATAACCCGTCACAGTATGACTTCAATTACTATCGAACCTTCGAGATATTGCGGTGACACGTTTGATCTCTTAAGAATACATAGTAAGAATTTTCTTGCGTCAAAATATATCACCACGATTAGATTATCGAAGTCCCTCAGGAAATTTTTTCCTGATACATATTTTAGCATTATAACTAGAACTTACTCTCGCAAGGCCGTGCTGCCGATTCACCAAAAACCCTAGGATTTATTATACCAGAATTTGAAATTGACTTATATTAATTGTATTGTATTAATTTATTTTGTTTAAAAATAACGAAATTACTATAAGTGTAATTTGGATTACCATACACATTCATACATTGTACTGATATGATACGTGGTGCCACTATGATGATATCTCAAACTGAGGGGGCTCAGTACCAATTCAAGTCTTGCCTGTTGATTTTATTTTTGTAGAGATAACCAATGAGTTTTCGAGCTGTTAGACAGTAGCTCCAGATGGATAGCCTGCTCGCAGCCTGAAAGGTCGTCCGCTTCAAATTTTATGGTGGGGGTTGCTGAGCAGGCAACAGATAGCTCCATTGTCTTCAAATGATTTTTGGATTTGGCCTGTATTTCAACTTAATTTTGAAGCATACAATTCGAATTTGGAATTACCCCCTTACCACAGACCTAAGCAAGTAATACAAATCGATGCAGTAATTAATAGCCTGCGCTAACGATCGTGTTACCAATAAACACAGGCGCCAGAAGTGGACCCCCGTGATTAACATGTATTTACATGTCACCAACACAACTAAGCATTTGAAAGTATTCGGCTTCATTTCAAACTAATCCCCAACCGCGCTTTTGTTTACATTCGCAATAGTTCCCCTTCAGTAATGAATGCGGAGGCGTTCTTTCCCGTCATCCGCTCCTACCGAGAAGCAATATCTGAAAATATTTTAACAACTCTTGAATATACACAATGGTTGCTTATTTTGGGAACATTAATAACTACTTGACAATAATCCGAACGCACGTGGCATGCTTTGTGTTGCCGCGTGATGATGGACTCGCCTCAATGCTTTGCTTGTAATTAGTCGTCTTCTATTACGTCAATGGGTTTAGTTATCCGGTCATTAAAACCAGAATACGTGCAGGAGGACTGCGGGGATGGGGGGGAGGGAGGGAGACCTGTTTAAGAGCAGTTCATACCGCCAGTTACAGCTAAGGTACCAGCCCATCAAACTACAAGATAATGTATTTGCAAAACCGAGGCTTATAAGGTATGCCGAAATCTGGCGTACATTATAGCCACACTGCGTTTTTATGTAACTATTTTCCATGACCCCCGCTATAGTTCATACCCCCAGATATAGCCGAGAAGCCACTCGTAAAAAAAATACCGTACTTTTCTTCAATGCTATAAAACCGTGGCTATTCCAGCAACTACATGGAATATACAGAAATAAATAGATGAAAATTCCTGCACATCTTCTACACCGTAAAAAAGGTCAAAATTCTTCCCCTCTCGGGTTATCTGATGGTCCAGCCTTATAATAGCAGGATCAATGTCTTCCCCGTATCCCATGATTGACCTGTCTGATTAAAGCTTTACATAATTACATTCTTGGGTAGCTCACTGCAGTTGGATCGAATGGAATGTATACTTGTCATTGTGTGGTCGATTAAACGTTCAATCAAATACCCCTTAATCTTTACAAGTAGTCTCATGCAGCAAAAAACTAATGACTAAATTATTTATATCAGCATTTTACATGCTTAGTCTACTAGTGATGGTATAAACCTCCTGTCAACGCCTAAAATAATTGAATGTCTCTTCTTCGCATGTGAAAATTTTCGTCTCATTCATCTTGAATTGACACTCCTGAGATGATATTATCCCATCAAATACTATTCCTGCCAGAACGAATCAAATACCTTTTCTGAGGTTCAATACAATTGCGCTTTTGCTAACTTGCCTCATGCGCTTGTTCAACGTCACTACAAATGGTTGTCTTCGTCTATTAGCTCTACTAGCGTCCTAGATCAGTACCACCTACAACACCTGCTTAGGATTTTCCTTACGCAATGTCCCACACGACTATACGTGCTGGGCGATGCTTACAAAGTGTCCAACAGAGGCAAATCAGTGATCTCTAAATATACCGACTTGTATCATTCCCGCCGTTATTTCATTAGAAAATATTCCAGTCACCCACCAGTCACCGGATGCTATTCCACTATAGTTCGATAAATTCCAGCAATATACAATATCTGGTTCTAATTTCACCTCAGTTGCATTTGAATTAGTTTGTGAAGGGAACATTTGGAGACTGCAAATGGATGTATATATAGACTAAATTTTGATCTCGATAAGAAGAACAAAATCCATCACCACAGCCAGAAAGATTTTGTAAATTTCATAGGGCTATATTTTCCTCATTTTACAACATTTCGCAACCAAACTTTGCAATTTTACTAATTTTAACATGCTCTTTCTAGCTGTGGTGATGGATTTTGTTCTTCTTGCCTAGTCAAAATTTAGTCTATATATGGAATCATCTATTGATCATGAACTTCACCAAAACCTTCACAGGTTTTCTCATGCAGATACTCTGATCATGTGCGGGAATACTGCACCCATAAGGGATAACCTCTATTGACCTTTATTGTTTTTATTGGTTTTTACTGAACTTTTGGGATTACTGTTAAAAGAGAATTGATGGAGCAGTTGAGACTATAAAAAAGCCTGTTTAGTTTGGTTTGGTTTAAAAATAAAACAAACCCCCAAGAATGCACTGAGTAATGCAATGTTGTAATCATGAGAAATGTACCCCTGCTGAGCCATTTGAATATCATGGCATGCGAACCTCGTCATAATGACAAGCTCCTGCTGTTTTTAGACTTCCTGTGATAATTGTTACCAAGGATGATTGGTATTTTGTACAAAAATATCATTAATAAAACCGTCCATATCATAAAATCACTCAAAAGTGCATAACTTATGTTTTTAAAATGTAAATCCGGATCGGGGGGAGGGGGTGCTCATCGCGTTTTGGCCATGATCCAGGGTGCAACCGTTGACCAAGTGTGTATCCACTAAAGAGAGCCACGACAAGCAATTTGAGCAAGGCATCTTGCTTTAATTTAAAATTTCACAATCATGTTACTATCTTATTTTATCTCTATTTTGAGAAGGAAACTGGCATCCCCTTTGCTAAAGTCAGGATGAATGTGCACGCCCCCCCCCCCCCTCCAGAAACCGCACCCTGGTCACAGATAGAGGTGAAAGGCCCCGGCGCTTCGTGCCACCTAACCCCAATGTTCGTACCTGCGTATCAACAGAAAGCTATAAAAGAATTGCCACTAATTGATAAGCCACATTTAAGTCATTTAACCACAGCGTAATAAGTTAAAATTGGATTATTCTGTTATAATCTGAATGTCAGACAAGGGTACTTTTGCAATAGTGGCCATTGGGTCCTCCAGATCAGGTACCCTTAATTTGATAAATAAAGAATTTACCCTATACCTTTTAGAAATTATGTAT